TAATAAATGTTTTGCTTTTACGAAAAAGCGCTGAACAGCTCTTGAGTCATTTCAAAATGTTTTAGTACCTCATCAGGAATGATTTCGAAAAAATCATTGTTGACACGAGTCAGGGGACAGTCCTCCTAGAACCTATGAAAAACATTTTCTAGGCAGCACGTAGCTCATGAGAATATTACGAAAAAATAGGTCTGGATAACGGAAAAATACTAAAAATGCTGAAGTATTCTGAAGATCTGAGCATAGAATTTCTGGAATGTTAATTTCCTGAGACATTGCCTAGACAAACTCTATCTTTAGCTTCGGTTGATAGTTCAGGGATTTTTTCAACGACACTGCGTTGCAGCTCACATATTGCCTTCCTATGATTACATTCTATTTCTGGATGCTGACTTTGGCGTTGTGAATCCTAAAAGGTATCTTTCCTGATTTTTCGCAAAGAAAAAATGATTTATTACAGACGCATTGAAGAATACATAGATCCTAGAGTGGATATAATCTTTTATGATCGTTTTTATAACTGGGAGATCATGGCCGGCTCGTATTTGGCAAAAAACACTTCTTGGTCAAAAAATTTTCTACTAAGTAAGTGCTCACAAGTGATTTATATTAGAGGTAGCTTCAAATCATTCTATATACTTCCCACTTTTGAGAGAGCTATTGGAATCTATTGGAATCTTGGAGCTATTAGAATCTCTAAACCAACACTTTCATTCCCTGTTTTTTGTTCACCCTCCCCCTCCACGTCTCAATATTTTTTGTTTTATACTAGCTGGCTCCCCCGGTCCAGCCCGGGCCATCCTTCACTGGGGAGAGATGAATGCTGTTATGGTCCCAGCATGGTACTGCAGCGGGACCTCTCCCCTTTCATGTTATGAATGACTTACCTTTGGGCATCTCCACTTCACTTCGCCACATCATCGTGATCGTGAGACTAAACTGAGCTTACCGCCTCGTTTACACGCCTATAGGAAAATGCATGGTTAGAACATGATGAGCTTTCATTCCTATAAAAATGCGTAAATAAATTGATAAATGATAGAACGACTTAGCGAATTGACTTGAAAGGTAGCCTTGAATAATCTACGGGGTCAGGAACATACGATATATATAGATTGCTCAACAGCTCTTAACGTTCATTACAAGAGCACAAAAGAAACATACAGGTTCTTCATAGGCTAATCATAAGAATAGATTATCATGTTCGGGTCTCACCTTTGGGATAACTAATAATTGTAACATTTCGGCTTGTGTGACTGCTAACTGACTACAAACTCAGTGTACAATGAATGTGATCACAAAGATGGTACCCATGCTCTCCCTATTTGCCAGC